TGCTGCACCACTCCATCATCTGGCCTCTCTTCAGTTGCATGCTTTGGTTTTTCTTTTTGGGTGTACATGTGGGTCATGTTTTAGTCTGGCAGGTATTCCTGTCTAATGCTTCGCCTTCCTCTTATCTGCTCCCTGTTACTAAGGCTCCACACATGTACTCGCCGAGTTAGCTTATGTTCCTCCTTTGTGTCCCTTGGTACCATATTATAGGAATTAAACGGCACTGTGAATATTATTTCCGTGCTTGTATTTTTTCTTCCAGACTTAGGTTTTGATAATCTCTTGTCTGCAGTGCCTAGAACTCGGCACTTAATGGTGGTTGAATGAATTAATGATTTACACCTGTTTCTGTTGCTTGGAACATTAATTTTAATAGGGCCATTTGTGTATTGAGTTTTAATTTTTATTTTGTGTGTGCCTAAAATATATTACTATATTTTAAGATATTCTCTATAATATGTACCTCATTGTTTTCCATGAGATGTTAGATTTGAGAAGCAGGTATTTTAATTTGCAAACATCTTGACATTATATCACTATCTTTTGTGATACCACCGATTGTGAATTTATAGATTTATGGGCAGAAATAAGGAAATCATCCCCTCAAAATAATACTGCTGTAAGTAGTTGCATGCAGCTGTTAATATGAAGGGTGGGATTAATGTAGCTGTTATTTTAAAGGATCATCTTCACACAACATGAATTAAAATTTTTTTATTTATTCTACAGGGAAGTCTTAAGAGAAATCGGCAGGTCTCCCCTCAGGAATTCATCCATGAACTGAAAATGGGATCTGCAGATGAGAGACTGGTCACGTGTCTGGAGTCCCTCCGCGTGTCTTTGACTAGTAATCCTGTGAGGTAATTCATATACCTGAACATTATCAGGGCATAGTATTAAGTTATAATAGATAGTTATTGATCTGTGATTTTTTTTACAAAATACTTTCTTCATAGCACCTGAAAATAAGTAGCTGGTATGCCTCAACAAATCCTCAAGGTAAAAATTGAATACTTGATATTTATATACATGAAGAAATATAGTGTCAGTAGTACTTTTGTATTTATCACTGAATGATACATAGCTTATAGACTTTAAAAAACTCATTTTTTCTCTTAGAATTTTTAAAAACTTTGAGTATTTTTTCAATGAGAACAACCATGATCAGAAACCACTAATTTAATGTGATTGAGTTTCACTCTGAATTTTGGTATTGCATATATATTGACTGATTCCTGTTTGACATAGCAAGGAGTACCACTCATTTATTTTTTTCCTTTATTGGAAATGGTTGTGTTAGGTTAGTGTTGTAGATTTAGAAAATATAAATACAGGAGGCCAAGTAAAATCTGAATTTGAGACATGTTTACACTAGAACAAATGGTTTTTCTGAAACCCAGATTTAATTGGGTGTCCTGTATCTGGCAGCATTACCATAGGGCTGTCTCTAAATCAATTTTTAGACTTTGTAGCTCAGCATATTCTTGAAAAATTTCAAGCGGAAGTTGTTATAAAATATCTGAGCAGTCATAGAATTAGAATTTCAGCGCTTTAAGGGTCTAAGGTAGGTCAGTTTTGAACTTTTATTGTATAATAAATCAATTTCTGCATAAGAATATCTGTGTGTACATGTATGTGTCTGTATATATGGTATATATTTTGGGGTCTAGAATGACAAACTGTGGTTGGTTGTTAACATGTAAAAGACTCTTGATATTGTCTTATAACAAGACAATATCAAGTACTTTATATAGTACTTTTTTGGACATTCCTGTGGTTAGGATGTAGAATGGAAAAACTCTTTGACAGTACAAGTATTTAAAACAGAAAGACCCTACCTGCTGAGTCATGAAAGTGAGTGAGGTTTAACTAAGGAGTATGAAGAATGCGCAAACAATCTTTAGTATATTTCAACTTTATTTTTTCATATTTTGGCACTTCTAGCCTGTTCTGTAGACTGTAAACTAATGGTGGGCCTGAGACCAGGGACTGAATGTGTCTTATTAGCCTCTCTTTACTAGACATAGTGCTTAGCACATAGAAGGTGCTCGGTAAATGTTTGTTTATTGAAGCAGTGAGGTTTGACTTTAGCCTTGTTCAGCCTTATGCTGGCTATTGTCAGAAACTACACTGAGTTAGGAATTTCCTTGTGAGGTATAGTCCTACATTAAGAGCTCTGGTTTCCAGCTTAATCTGTACCTGCTAAATGTATTCATTCAAAAGGTCTTATCCAGCACTTGCTATTTTCCGTGTACTGCCTTACATGTGGGGCTTGAGTAAATAAGCAGAGTTGACACAGGCCCTGTTTCTGTGGAGTTTAAATGGAGGAAGAGGGTAATTTGGGCTTGACTGGGGAAGATATATTCATTTTTCAGTTTATCTGGCAGCCAGTGGTCACTGGAGATATTCATGGCTTTACAATATAATTAAAAGTAGATTTTTCCCTTTACCTTTTCTTCTTCATCTTCATCTTTGGAGTAGATGACTATGATAGCAAAAGAAAAGCTGAAAGAGTTCTATGTATAAATTCATGCACGTTGCAATGGATACGATTATTTATTGTGATTTCACTTAGGAACACTAGGGAATAATGCTATATGTCTCTTCCATTTAAACCTAATCTAAAAAAAAAATCAGTCGTTTATGGAATGGAATTATTTCCCCAAGCATGGCTAGTTTAAAAATGTGAATCAGGAATCTGATAATATGGATGGATACTCCCTACAAAGTAGTCTTTTTAGTAGAAAAGAACAGAAAATCTTCTATTGGATTTTTGGCATACCTCAACAACTACTCATGGTAAAAATTAATCTTCTATTGATTTTTTATTGAAAATCTTTTGGAGAGTTTTTTTTTTTTCCCCTGAAATCATGGCACTTACATAGACAGAAACTTGAGATGATACTCAAGAATATTTCCATGTCCAGTGCTCTGATTAGAGGAGTGACTCAGCTGGGCATATAAAACATGGAATTATGCCTGTGATCAAATCTTTGGACTTTGCTGTCAGTTTTGATGTATCTGCTGATCAAGTAAGTTTTTCCTATTTTATTTTTTATGCACAGTATGTGACTAAATTTCGAGAAAGAAGGGATTCTAATTTTTGTAAGCTTTAGAGATTATTGTTAGACCTGTGGTATTATTGAGAAAATCAGAGTTAAAAATTCTTTAAAGTCTGTGAATACAGTTGAAAAACAAAGAAGTGAACTGATTCATGGTGGTTCTTTAATGCAGGGATCAGGATTTATTTAAATTGAAAATCAAGAAAAAAGTAGGAGTCCCCTCATCCCAATATGCAATATTTTCAGAGCCATTCATCAACTTCTGAAACTCTGCCTTGCAATTAGGAGCCATGTCAACCTTTTACTATCCAGATAGTGAATTATGTGAAAACCAGTGCATTAAATACAAGATTATTTGCCTTGTTTTATGAAGAGTTGATTTGAAGATTGCGAAGTTTTTCTTCTGTTTGAAGTTTTATTGATTGTTTAATATTCTTGGTGACAGTTTTGAGCTAAAAGACAGTTACTTTATTTTGGAACACTCAAGAAAAGAGCAAATTCTTCAAATTACCAAATATAACTTTTAGTGGACCCTGACATAGTCAACGATTACATTTAAGTGATCAAACACATTGAGGTGGAAATGCAGAAAGGTAGACACTAACATCATTATGATTGATGTCAAGCATTTTAGTTCATACCCATCTATGCACACAGCAAAGTAATTACAGAATGCATCTTCATTTTCTCAATTTGATGCAGCTGTCAAAGATAAGATTTTTGTCTCAGAAAATCCTGTTTTATCAGGTCTGTGTGTTTTGTGATTTTAGTCATTATTTTCCTTTAGTCATAGTTAACATGTACATTTTGAAGTTTGTAAGAAATATTTTCTTGCTAAAGTTATCTTTTTGTTAGATTTCTAAGGGGAGTTTGGAACTAGGTATGATTAAATTAATAACTAGAACTTTGAGAAAATCACTTCAGTTAAAATATATTTGTTTACTGCAAAGGAAGTGAGCAGCTTCAGTGTGTCATTCTATTCAATCAGTGTAGTTTCTCCCCTTCTCTGGACTTGAAAACACAAAGCCGGGGAGGAGCCTACCTGTGGAGCTGATGTACGATTTGCGCTGTGCACCACACGTGTGATGGGACAAACGGAAGAGCCTGTGGCAAGCAATGAGATTAGTGTACTCATTGATATCAACATGATCTGAAGGCAAGACTCAAAAGACTAAACATTTTGAAGTTACTTATACTTTGACTTATTAAAAATTATTTTTATAGCACGTTAGACATATAAAAAAAAGACTTTGTTGTAACAGTAAATCAAGCACCCATTTGCCTACCAAGGAGACTAAAATATGGCATATTTCCTATAACTTTGAAGCTTCCACGCATCCCTCTTTAATTCAATATCCTCTTCCCACTGTCCTTTGGTGACCTCGCTCCTGAGTTTTCGGCTTATCATTCCTATTTTTTTATTATAATTTTACCATATATGTATTCTTATTTAACATAGTATTTGGTTTTATATCCTTTTCAGTTGTATGCAAATGGAATCATCTTCTGTGTATTCTTCTGTGACCTGAGTTTCCTTTTCTATTATTTTTCATTGATTTATATATGTTGATGTGGGCACATACTCACATTTAATCACAATTAATCGTTTTTCATACCTTTTTTATACTTTAAGAATAATAAATAGCATGAATGCTTTAAAAAAGTCCTATTAGATTACCTTTGTCTTTTCCATGTAGTTTTATCTTTTTGTATTGATTTTAAAAATATATTGAAATTTATATCTGATATTCATTTTGAATTTTCAGGTTTTTCCATGTTCTTCCTCCTTCCCCCTCCCCCCTTCTCTTCCTCCCCCTTCTTCCTTTTCTGTATCCTTCTTTTTCCTCTTTCTCATCCTTAAATTCTTCTGAATTGATTTTTAATTTCTCATTTCAATATTTCCTCATTTACAATTTGGAAGACACATTTTTTTGAACATATAACAAAAATTTTAACATGCACGTACTTAAAAAGGGACAAGAGTAAAAAATATCTCTTTTCTTTTGAACCTAAGAATACTTTCACACCAATCACCCTCTCTTGATTTATATGCTATTTTGTGTGATATTTTAATTGTATGTTTTTTTCTTTTCAGTATTATAAATTATTATTGCTATTGTACTACAAATATGGGCATATGTATATATGTGTAGAAACACATATGTACTCATTCTTCTTTGTTTCTTGAACATTTTTTTTTTCTCTGATACTGTGCGCTTGCTTCAGGCACATCATTAAATTCCCTTGTTGAGAGTCTGTTGATGGTAAACTGTCTCTTATTTGTCTGAACGTGACTTTATTTGCTTTTGCTTTTGAAGGATAGTTTTCCTAGCATATGACATTGAGGATGTTTAGATTTCTTTTCTTAGTACATCAAAGATATTATTTTCTCTTCTGCCTCTCATTGCTGTTTTGGAGAGCGATGGATCTTTATCTAAAACTCATGTTTTTACAGGTAATCTGCCCTTTCCGTCTGTCTGGTTTTATAATGTTTTGTCTTTGGTGTTTTATAGTTTTATGTGTCTAGGTGAAATTTCTTATTTTTCCTGCAAATTCATGGGGGGCTTCCTGAGTGTGATTGGTGTCTTTCATAAATTCAGTGAAAATGTCCGCCAGTATATCTTTGAATATTGACTTTTTCTCTATAATTTTGTGTATGTTAGACCTTAATGCATATACCATTATTTTAAGCTCTTTATACATCTATGTGTCTCTCTCTATTCAGGATATATTTTTTAGATCCAATATCCTAATTGTTTCTTCATTGATGTCTAATCTACTACTTAACATATACAGTA